GTATCTCCATATATCTATATCTATATATCCATCCATACACACACACAGAGAGAGAGAGAGAGAGAGAGCACATATGGTACCTATTATCAGAATAAAACAAAAATGCAATCATTCCTACCTTTTAAAAATGAACATTCATGTAAGAGGGTAAGACTACACAAAGAAGTATTTATGAAAACAACTGTTTTAACAACACAGATGCAAGCATGTTCTCTCTCTCTCTCTCTCTCTCTCTCTCCTGAACAAAAATTTTACACAATCAAAAAAATTAAATGAAATAAAATAAAATCCAGATTCTGTTTGCATGTATGTATGTATGTATATATGTGTGTGTGTATATATATAGTGTATATATATACCGTATTTGCCGGCGTATAAGACGACTGGGCGTATAAGACGACCCCCCCAACATTTCCACTCAAAATATAGAGTTTGTTATATACTCGCCGTATAAGACTACCCCCTCTTCCGCACACCTTCCACTTTTGCACTTTTTTTTTTTTTTGAGGCACTTTTGTGCACCGTGGAAACGAATCCCGTGAAGCTGAAAGGAGCAACCAGCCTTCAGGCCGATGTAGGCGGGCCTCCTTCTCCCAGCTCCCAAGGAAATGAGGCGCTCAGCGGCCTCCGCTCGCACCGCCCGGCCTCAGCTGCAACAAACCAGAGAAGGTATCCCCCTCATTGGGCTCCAGCTCTTTTTTTTTTTTTTTTTTAACATGCAAGGCTTGGGAAAAGAGTTTCCTGGTAGAGTGGTTTATTATTTCTGAGTTGCCCAATAATATCTTGTCTTATTTTTTGAAGCATCATCCATATTTTAGTCCCCATCAGAGAAAGGTAAATAGTCCTAATTTCAGAACTGGATAAACCCAGGGAAAGCATACCACCAATGGGAAGAAAATATGGGTGAGAAAGGATATAAAGAAGAGGTGAAACGGGCTATTTTGCAACCCATATAAACTTTGCTGCTCTCTTTCTTCCTTGGGTCTCTCCCCATAGAGGGAAAAGTATAATCAACTAACTGCATGTTCCTCAGAGTAAAGGACTTTTCCTTTACTTGGGCATCAAAAGCACTGACAGCGTTGTAAAACCAAGGATGGAAAGAAGCCATTTCTTTTGCTCAGATGTGGTAGTAAATGGATGGAAGCAATTCCTAGCAAAGTACCATCCTCAAGCACTGGAAACAAGCAGGAAAGGATGCCTACATCACTGGGTTCAAGCAATTGCCTTTAAAACTCCCCCAAGAAATCCAGGGTTTCTGAGAATAAATTTCTCCAGGGAGATTCCTGTTTCAAGAACTTTTCCTCTTCTTTTATTTTGTTTATCCCCACCGCTTCTCTGAGAAGTCAAGGCACCAAACCGACTTCCTCATCCTTTAAGGGAAGCTGCTACACAGGCACCTAACTCTTAACAACCTTCCATTGATTGGAGGGGACCGAAGGGACTTTCATAATTAAGGTGAAAGGCTGAAACTGGTAGAGTGAAAACAACGCCGACTTTCCAACAGAGCAGAGCTGACCCAAAACACATTGCCGGCGAAAGTGACTTTAATGGTTTCATAACGCAGCCCCGCTGCACTAGATGCGCTCATTCTGCCAGAGGGGGCTCTGGGCTTCTTCCCTGAGGATTCCTACATTGGTGGCACCTCTGATGGCACCTCTGAAAGAGGTTCCCAGCTGAGGGAAACAGCGAGGGTTGATTGCGAGGCCTTCTCCTCAGGTCAGGAGCACTAGTGGGTGGTCCCGCTCACGGGCTGCTGCGTGCTTTGGGACCCTCGGCGGGCACTCACCGCACTGCCCCCTGTGCGTGCATGCGACGAGGCGGCAGGCAGCCCAGCCCCATCAGCCGGAACCAGCCGGCATTACATAATCTTGCCGCGATCCTGATCCGGTCCCTGAGCCAGACGAAGCCACCGGCAAACGGACAAGGGGTGGGGGAACTGGGGTGCCGATTTGATTAGGAACACACACACGCACAACCTGCCTACCAGCGTGGGGAACACGCGGACGCACCTGAGGAAAATGCAGAGGAGTTGCTGGAGGCAGCCGCTGCCGAGCAGAGGCCCCAAATTTTCCAACTAAATACGCCGGGGGACGGGGACGGGGGAGGGGGTAAGCGGGGACCGTCGCGAACCAGCAGCCTCAGCGGCAGCAGGACACCGCAACCCGCAAGGGTCGGGAGGGTGGGGGGAAGGCAACCGGCTATCCCAGGCTTACGGCCGCACCACTGTCATTCCGGGCGGTGCCGCGGGCAGCCGCAGTGCTTCCCAATTACCATTTGCCGGCGTATAAGACGACCCGGCGTATAAGACGACCCCCCCACTTGGAGGCATGTTTTTCAGGGCAAAAAAGTCGTCTTATACGCCGGCAAATACGGTATATAGTATATAGTTGTGCTTTTACAGTTGTAGCAACGTTTCGGCAGAATCTCATCTGCCATCATCAGGCTTCTGTATTGTGTTCATCTGTGAATCAGACTTTCACAGCCGTTTCAGTTTTAAATTTGGGGCTAGCCTACTGCTGTGCCAGAATACCATACATGTAAGTACCCGCGAAAACTTAAGAAAACATATATATGTATATGTGTATATGTATATATATATATATATATGTATGTATGGTATTCAGCTTTGTTCGGGTATTTTCCCACGTCATTATAGTTGTGCTTTTAAAGTTGTAGCAATGTTTCGGCAGAATCTCATCTGCCATCATCAGGCTTCTGGCATATATGTCCTGTCTCACTTTTCTTCTTTCCCAAAAGATGAAAGAGTACAAACTCACACAAACACAGGCAGGCAAGCTGACTCGGACTTCACAGAGTTAATTTTTTGGAACTGATAATGTCCTTGGCATTCCAACACGCTCTGCCTGCCAAGTCCGAACTGAAAACAAATAAAAATCTACTCACAGAAAATTACAAGGCAGTCCACAAAAATCATTCACGAAGAAAATCTGAAGTAAGATTAAACTTTGTCCCGTACAAAGTTCCAGCCGAAAACACACCCACTTTTATCCCCTGTGGGGTGTGGCTCAATGACTCAGCTCACCCTCTGACCCTCCCACGCCTCCTACGTTGCTGCTCACGTTTCTCCCTACGACACTGCTTAGGATCAAGCAAACACTCTTCCTCTTTACTCCCTGTCAGGGGTTGCTCCGATATGCTTTCCTCCTGATTAATCTCAGGCTGTTCCTCTCGGTTGTCTGATGAAACCTGAGGCATTATCAGGGAGGAAGGCATTGCCAGAGAGGAAGGTCCTGGGGAGGAAGGCATTCCCAGTTCCTCCTCCTCATCTTCCAGGTCTTCTTCCTCTGACAGCATAGGCTCGGGAATCGGGGCCACAACATATATATATATGTATATATTTGTTTTCTTAAGTTTTCGCGGGTATCTATATGTATGGTATTCAGCTTTGTTCAGGTATTTACACACACATTCTTCTGAACAAGTTATGTATTAGCACAGAGTTTCACCCAATCTTGCAATGTCTTTTCAGAGAACCAATGTGGGTTCTCTGAAAGATTTTTGTGAGTGAGTTTCCAGGCCATTTGTCAGCTGATTAGCACCATATTTTGGAAAGCAATTGTTACAATTAAGTATCGCAGGCTTAAGGCTGGGTAAGGAGAAAAAGAGGAATCAAAATAAATATAGAGAACAGACTCTGTTGTCAAAGCAGACCTTGTTCTAATTGCACATATTTGGATGTACCAACACTGGTACTGTGGGAACACATACCTATGACTTCTGAACATTCAGTCTGTAAGACTGTCAAACAAAGATGACTACACTTACTGTTTATAAGGAAGAGTACAGCTTTGTAGTGATTGCAGATGACATGGACCATCACAACATGCCAAAAAAGGACAGAAAGTCACCCTGTTTACTTCTGAGGTTTTACCTTAGTATCTCCTCTTAGAACACACAATTTCGCAATACTAACAATGTCCTCAAAATTAGTCAAAAGCTTACTACTGGCAAGACTCACACACAGCGTAGTAATGGTTTTTCAAAACTAAATATATTATTGTGGTTATAATAGCTTGTTTCCAACTCTGAATCATTGTAATAGGTACAAAACATATTAATATATACAACTTACAGCTTGCTGAATTCCATTCTTTACTTCTTTACTCAGCATGCCTTCAAATACAAAGGAATCACCAAATCTTTCTGCCTAAGGAAGGAAGGAAGGAAGGAAGGAAGGAAGGAAGGAAGGAAGGAAG